CACAGGCTAAGCGTTCATGCACGTTTTCTTAGCCCATGCTAAGCATTCATGCACGTTTTCTTAGCCCATGCTAAGTGTTCATGCACGTTTTCTTAGCCCATGCTAAGCGTTCATGCACGTTTTCTTAGCACAGGCTAAGCGTTCATGCACGTTTTCTTGGCACAGGCTAAGCGTTCATGCACGTTTTCTTAGCACAGGTTAAGCGTTCATGCATGTTTTCTTAGCACAGACTAAGCGTTCATGCATGTTTTCTTAGCCCATGCTAAGCGTTCATGCACGTTTTCTTAGCCCATGCTAAGCGTTCCTGCACGTTTTCTTAGCCCATGCTAAGCGTTCCTGCACGTTTTCTTAGCCCATGCTAAGCGTTCATGCATGTTTTCTTAGCACAGGCTAAGCTATTTCCACGGTATGAAAAAAGGAAATGATTGAGATAGATAGACCATGGAGGTTTGCCATAATCAAAATGAATTTATTCTGACTATTTTCTTCATCATGTAAAAAATACGAAGATCATTGAGTAAATCTATTTATCACAGATTTTGCATGTAAACTCTTGAACATACATTATTCCACTGATTCAAATATTCAGCATAGTACAAATAAATGCCATGGCTAGAGAATAAGTTAAAAGATTTCTTGTCCTGAACTTAAAGATTAGACCCATGTTCATGGTGCATTTTTGGCCATTACTGTTTTACTGTGTTGCATGTTTATTACCATAAGTACTGTAATTTTGGCATCAGTGTAAGGGGTTACTGATTTGATTTAAAATTATCAACTGATGGCCATATTGGTGTTATTTTCTTGCATCCTCAAGAATGCTTACATACATTTTGTATGAATTTGGTACAATGTACCAAGACAGGGCATAATTTGTTGTATGTACATTTTGTTTGTAGTTAGATTTAAGATGGCTGAATGACAGCTATTTTAGTGCTGAATCATCAAAATCAAACATTTCTATCATTCCAAAACCAGATCTTGATTTGTATTGATGGATTTTGTTTCATCTTGTACACACATTGGACATTATGGGAATTTTATGCACATCTTTTGTTTCACAGATTAAATTCAAACTAGTGCCGACTGGTAGCTATTTTGTTTAAATATTTTGGACTTGCTAGGCCGATCAAATTCTAACTTTGATCATAGATATTAGCATACATGTCAATTTGGAGTGAAGTCCTATAACAAAGAGTGTTGATGTCTTTCTTGATATTATGTCTTCCCAAACCTGAAATCATGGACATTTTAGCAGTGAAAATTATCAAATGGTTTTCAGTACACTTTATAGCGTTATGATAGAAGACAGTTCCCAACTTTTAACTAACATTTCAGGAACTACAATTAAATTTTGCTTAAATGATCAACATGTATACATGTATCTTTAGATACACTGATGATTGTTTTGTATATATTTTATACTCAACTTTCATATTCAATATGCAATGGGGACTATGACTTTTCAGCCAATACTTGAAGTATTGCTCTTCCAACTTTATAAAAGTGCATTCTCTGTGGTCAACATAACATATATTTGTTTGTTCTACTTGTAGGTAATCAGGATGTCTGCCAGCAATGGAGAATATCGCTGTCCTAAATGTAAATATAAATTCAAGGAGAAAATTGGATATGAGTATCATTTTAAGTACTTATGTGTAACCCTTTCCAAGTATAATCAGAAGATTAGTACCAAAGACAGTATAAAAACTGACACACTATGTGATGATACTTCAAAGACAGTAAAACAGCCAGTCACTACAATTGATGTTTATGACAAAGGAAAACAAACTGAAACAAATCTTGAGATGTTAGGTAATCACTTGAACCAACCACAAGGGACAACGTCTGCACATAACAACAGGAAGTATAGTTCATCTCATTATGAAGTAAAAAATCATCAAACTGTTTTGCCAGAAGCTCACGTTGATGGGCGAATGAGGCAGAATAGTGAGCAATGTAACAAAAGGAATACTTGGTCATTTCAAACTAATTCCTTTAGACAGAATGAAAGAGAATATGGATCTAGCCAGAGATGGTACAAGCAAATGGGAAAACATGATAGAAATTGGTGGAGGAGAAGGAAACATGACGAAAAGACAAATACAGCTATGCAATCACAAAATTATTACCGTAAAATGTATGATGAAAGAAGGGATCAGAAAACCAAATATCACGACCAAAGACTTCACAACACTCGATGGTCATCTTCACCTACTATGCCACGTCTCGAAAAACAGACAGTTTCCCCATTTCAAGGAGTACATACTTCCCAGAGCAGTACTGATAAAAGTACTAAATGGCTGAATGATCAGAAGTATAAAGATAATGAAAACTTTGAAAAGACTAGGTTTTTGGATTTTTTGAATCAAGACCCAGATAATTGTCAATATGGAAATAAAGAGCATATCTCTGCATATAATGAATCTCATTATGAAACTGGCAATGTCCATTGCAGTTCCCAATGGAGAATATCACCTGTTGAAATCAATGATTATGATCTTAGTAAAGTGACATTGCCTAAGCTCACAAAAATCACTGAATTATATTCAGGACACAAGTTCAGTGGAGGCAGTGGGTTAGAAAATGATTGCACTTGGAGAAATAATTCCAAAACTGAAAGTAATGTGTATAAAAAATCGGATGAAATTGAATTGAGCATGTCCTCTATAGTGGCTCCAGTTGTATCAGAGCCTGATGTACCGTGTATGGTTGATACCAATAATGAATGTAAAATTGGTCCAATAAATTCAGTTGATGAGGGTAAAGAATGTAATGCTATTGAAAAGTCAGATAAGTTATCAATGCAGAACAAAACAGAATTGTATTCAACTATGGATTCTAAAACAGGTGGTGTTCTCAACAAGAAAGAGTCTGCTGCAACAGATATTGACCACTGTGAAGAAGATAGAGAAGTTGCTGAAATAATGACAACTTTGATGAATCAAGACTATCTGAAACTTGATTTGCCAGATGAAGATTGGAAGGAGTTAGAGACAATGTCACATGAAAGTCTTTGTGATAGTGGTATAATGATGGAGTATGGTAAACTTGACCTTACTACTGACAGCCAGGCCTCTCTGAACGAGGTGCCTTCTCGTGTTGATAGTGTCTCCACAGATCTTGATAGATTGGATTCTGCACTTAAGAAGTCTGCATTTGTTATGGATAGGTCCCCAATTTATGCAGCTGACATTGACTGTTCTCCCTCCAGTGCCGGATTTCAAGATGTGAGTCGTGAGTACATTGATACCGATAGCGGTATTTCTGCCGATAGAACTCCACCAAGACTTTCTCCTGTCACTCAGTCTTGTACCACACCGCCAAATGAACTTGATGACATTCCAAGTTCTGTCCAGCCAACCGTGCCACTTCCATCTTCTCCAAGAGTTGTTTTACGCCTCAAGTTGAAGAGGCTAAAAAGAGGAACAGAAAAATATCATAGTTATGAAAGGACTAATGAGAATCCGATGGATGTGAATGATGTTGTCATGGAAACTGCAAATGAGAAATGTAATCTATTTGTGTGTCCTAAGTGTGATACTAAAATGATGTATGAAGAAAGTCTTGTACGTCATACTGAGCGAAACAACTGTGTAAGAACCACCACACTAAAACAGCAGACAGCCAGGAAGCTAAGGATGTCGCGCATTATTCTATCTCGCGGCATCAAGAACAGGCAAATTCGTAGGAAGAGTAAAAAGACTGGTTACCTCATGTGTGAGCATTGTTCTGTGTTCCAGTGCCGAAGTGAGTTAATTATGGAAAAACATCAACTTCAACAACACAACTTCAAATGTCAGGTCTGTGAACAGAAGTTCCCATTTAAGGTAAGGCCATTTGTTTTTTGATGGACTGCAGTTAGAAATTATCTCATGGTATTTCTGTTTTTTTTCTTTCCTCCACCTTAAAAAAAAGATAATTTTGGTAGGTAATAATATTAACAATCTTCTTTCAAGCCTTTTCTATCAGGAACGCATCTCTTTTTCCACTAACACCTAACTATTTTCATGCAGAGTGATTCTTGATGGTTCTCCGGCTGAATGGACAAATCTCTGTTAAACTTAGTACAAAAACTTTGTTATACATTAATTTGCTTAGATTAATTAAAAACTATCTTGATATTGACATTTAACTACACAAATAATGTACCAAGTTTCAATCCATGGTAGACTACAAGTATAACATTGTGAAAATAGTTGCATGAATAAAATAATTCCAAACTATTATAAAACCACAAAAACATTATACCTGCAATATTTATCATTTTTAACATACATTTTTGTAGTTCTAGCTAAAAATGCACACTGTTGTGTCATAACCCAATCTAAAATCGCCAACTGGCTGCCAGTGTTTGTGTCTCTTCGACAAAATTCTGATCCCAAATTCTGCTGTTCAAATTAAACTTGGTATTCAGACAATTGTGCACATCAATGAAAGAGTTCAACTTATGTTGGAAAACTATTGGCCACTCCCCATTCTTTTCTATTTTCTATGCCCTAAGAAAGCACTGACACAGAGTTTTTTGGCAGTGTGCATGTCACGGGGTAGGCTAGCATCCGACCACAAAGTGATAAGAGGCACGCCTTCACCTCGTGTTGTGGGTTCTTTGACACCCTACTGATTGAAATATCGAAAATAAGCCAGCTGATGCCTGGATTGTCCCCTGTACAACTTATTATAGTACCAGACCCACTCGCACACAATGAAATGCACAGTAATATCGTAAAGGATGGTTTAATTGTACAACCGGTTATGATACACAGAATTCGCTGATATGAATCAACGTAACAAAGATATAAGTCGCTGTACAATAGGAAAATTAACACGCATGTCAGGCACGATAAAAGCAGTGGCGTCCCGTGAATAACCAGTTTACTCAACCCGAAACCGGGTTGATTCACACTAGGCAATGCACCTTTTACGTATGAACGACGCCGCTACTTAACTGCGCCGACGTGCGCGCGAAACGTTGAAGCAGGAAACGGGCTGTCACACAATACAATTAAACTAATACTGTTACAATTTCAAATAAGAATACAATAATTTAACCACTAAATTAGCTAAATAGTTACCAAAATACATTCAAAACACAGCCAATGGTCCCTAGCCTAATGTGCGTGTAATGAGCGTGATAATTACCGGCTTCTGTCGGGTTATAGTAGAAACGTTGCTA